TGGCTCACATGTTTGTTTTTCTCTAGGGTTCTTGCAGTTGCAATATGATTACTGAGTTCTCTCTTCTTCTTTTCATATTGAGACAATCCTTGCTTGTGGGAGCTGTGAACGAAACCATGAGAAGAAGAACCCCAGGGGCTCAAAATACCTGTATGTAAATAAAGGGTAACACCACAGAGATTATTTTCAAAGCAAGGCCTTGTTTTTAATCAAGAAAATACTTGTGCCCAACAACCTCAGCGACAGAGAAAACCAGTCTGTCCAGACATGACTGAAACTGTAAGTAATAGCTCCTTAGTGCATGGGCTCTTCTCCAGCCTTCCAGGCATAAATACAGCCCTGTCTAACTGGAGGTCTGCTTTGATGCTGTGCTTCTTCTGATCTTCATTCTCCACTTGCAGTTAACAAACCAGGAGGTGTTGCTGAGGAAAGTTATAGGCATAAGCCAAAAGGTTGCTGGGCTTCAGGCCCTTCATCCTTCTTGGGGAAAGGCAACAGACCCTGGGTGCCCAGCTCCTTGAGTGAGGAGGAGGCAGAACCACAGGTCTGTATTGAACCGTCTTCAGGTTTCTACATGAGGAACTTAACCATTTAACCAGATGCGTTTCTGCCTTTCTTCCTGATGCACGACCTGTGAGATGCAAGAGAGCTGAGTGGTTAGCTGGAAGAGATATTCAGGGGTAAGGTGTGAACTGTTGTGGTATATGAGCAAGTGATTCATTAAAATTTGCTTTGCGATCATTACTGTAGTCCTTACGCATCACAGTTAAGAAAGTGGGAAGGGAAAGAACAAAATTACAAAAAGCTGCAAGAGAAATGAGACTAAAGCAGCTTCAGGCTGGTTGGTTGGATGCTGACAACTGTAGATGGGATGAAAACATAAACCATAAACTGTCGTAAATGAGCACACTGATGAGGCATATTATAATTGTTATTTGGAATAAACATGCATTAAATTGAATACCATGACCTTCCTTATAGACCAGGCAAAAAGGCAACAGCATCAGGTAACACCAACCCCTGACACCCTGAAGAAGACAAGGAAGACATGACCTTCTGCTTTGGGAGGTCCCACGGGATGATGGGGGGCCTCTCCCTGAAGGGGATTTACTCAGCAGTACTTGCACTGCCCTGTATGAAGTGAGGCACAGATTAATTTCAGGTTCTGCTGCCTCCCCATCCTGGTAAAAGAAGAAGTAAGTTTCCAGAATGAAAGCTGAAAGGGGGTGGGGAGGGGGAGGGGAGAAAACGATTCTTGACTGTGAAGCACAACATATGCTATCATGAAGCTGAACAGCTTTCCATACAACATATTCTAGCCAAGCTATTAGTAAGTCAATACACCCATGGTTCCCCATCAGTTACCTGCCAGCAATGAGCAATTGACTCAATATTATCAATTATGTTCTTTTCCCCTCTCCTTCCCTCTCACCAGTTAAGCATCTGTTAATCATGAGATACAATCCTCTTCTTGGAAAATATAAGACAAACAGTAAGTTTTTGTAATAAGATCGTTTATTATTGTAAATAATCATTAAGGTGTCCTGAAATAAGGTGGAGCCATATCCTTACCCCAGAGATTTTAAGCACATGGGAACAGCACATGCAGCCCTAGGTCTCTGCCCTGAACATCTGTAGGGCCCTGAGCTGAAGGCATGATAGTTGGAATGAAATTTAGTAGCTTCTTCCCCAGGTCAAAACCGCAGTGTCCACAAGGAAGAAAATTTCCTTCAATTTACTGCACTAACTGGATTCTCATCTGCATCCTTTGTGCTTTTGTTTGCTTTGAGAATTGGTATGTGAAAGAGCTAATTAATCATCTGCACTGGTTGATCATCCTGAAAGCTTAGTGCCTATGGATCTGAAGGTACTGGTTGGACTGCTCAGGGAAAAGGCATCTAATGTATAATATTTTGGGACTAAGACCTTAGAAATTTTGTAATCCTTATAATGGCAATAATAAAGACAAAAAGACCTGAGTTATCTCTGAACATCCTGTCCACAGACACCAAGATAACAATCAGTCAAGACTGCAGAAGAGCTGGTGCCAACTTTAGCCCAGGAAAGGGGAGAAAAGCACGAATAAAACAATTTCCCACCCATCAGGTCAATAAAATAAATCAAGAGACTCTCTTAGTTTAATAGCAATTTATTATCATTATAAGTAACAAGTGGGTTTAAATCATTTTGTCTTAAAAATCTAGTGTAACACTCAGGTCACTGCTAGTTCTATGAAATCTATGGCAAAATTTTATCCCCAGATGCCACCATTCTGCATCATTCTCAGACATCAATGATGTGGGTGGGTCACAAACACCACAGAAACAGATTGCTCTATACAGCACTTGTCATAAGGAAGATCATTAGGTCTCAAGATGCTACAAGTTATTCTGTAAGAGCTATTAAGTTTTCCCCTTTAAAACTTTAGTTTTCCCCTTTGTTAATATTGCTGGAACAATCAAATATTTCACACAGTTTTTGGTGAAGCTGTAAGAATCTTTTAAGAAATGTATTTTTCCCCTGTATCTCTTTGCTGCCAAAGTTTTCCTTTTTTTCTTTTCCTTCCTTAGTGACACAGCTGCCCCATTCCAGGGACAAAAGCGCAGCAACATTTACAGTCACTCTCCATACAGCATCCTGTACTTCCTTCACATTCTGAAGCTCAGCTCTAGCACTCACCTTTAACACTGCTGCTAGAACAACGTGGCAGCATGCAGTTCAGGAATACTAAGTGCTCATGTATTGAATCTCCAGCTCCTTGGGAGCTCTAGAGCTTAAGTTAAGCTCAAGCTAAGTGCCCAAGATAGCTAACTTACAGCTAGTTCCTATTTGTATAAAGGAGCAGCAGCCAGATACTGCAGGACAGATGCATTTTCACGTTACAGCTGTTCATGAAGAGGCCCAAGCAAGTCATAATCAGTGGCTTGCAGGACCAAAAAAATAGTCTCCACAAGCAAGCATACATACTGCTGAAAAGGAATGATGGTCCCAATTCTGTCAAGCATCTACTGTGTTGAATTTAAGCTCACAATGTTACTAATATTTAAAAGTAAGCAGAAGCCTCTGAGTGAAACCTTTCTGGCTAGCAGAAATTCAGTGAAGGAAGAAACAGAACAAAGGTAAACCTTACATAGCTACTCAGATGGGGCTTGTACATAATTTCAGGTACACAAGAAGGTCTGTCCTCCAGGAACAGACCCCTTAGATGGATATTCATCTGCACAAACTTCACAGTAGTATGTGGAATTAGGCAGCTCAATGAAAACAAATCAGTAAGAAGCTTCATGTACTATATCCACTCTAAATGTGGATACACAATCACAGGATAACGAAATGGAGGAGGCACTAGATCAACAGATTCTATTAACAGATTCCAGTTTTGCTATAAACAGCAGTTCACTCTTCTCTAAGCAGACCCACAAGTTAAACTCCAGGAGAAAAGAGGGTGTTAAATTTACTTGATTAAAAATATTTTCTTGGAGTGTGCTCTCAGCTGGATTTCTTGGGGAAAACAAACAAACAATACTTACTGCAAAACTGCAAAATCTTGTCTTAATCTAACACCCTAATCTTCTATCTTGCTTTCTAAATGTACCCAGCAGTTTGTAAATATCCCACACTTACTCAATAATATCTCAATGACTTTTAACTGAGGTAGCCGCTAAACCATCACCATACATTAGCGATGCCAAAACAAAGGAAAAAGCTGAACTAAGATGCTCAAGAACAGTTGCTTTGCCAAAACCAATAGCATTTGCTTCCAAATATGTCATTTTGTGTCTTGCTGTCTTCTCCTCCTCCCACCTTTGTTTCACTTCCTGTTTCTGCTCTTGCAATCTCTAACAGACAGCAACAAGGAAAAAATAAGCTTTCCAGTTAACTTGTAAAATGTCTTTGGATTTTCAAAAGCAAATTTTCGAATGAAGAATGAATGTCATTTAAAACACTAACACTGAAGGACAATTTCCAGTCTAAATCACTCACATGTCAGGTGCCAGCTCTATCATCTTCCTGCACATGCCTTGGTGTATAAGCCATGGAAAGATGCCTGCATGGGTATTATGAAGTTGTGAAAAGGTCCCTTTCATTCTAAGTCTCATCCCATATATGTAAACACACAAAGAATCAACTGTCTAATCACTGTCTTTCAAGTACTCAGGAAGTTAAAATAAAATGGCAATTAGAATTCCTCTAACTAAAAAGCACATAGATCTATCATATCCTTGACCTTCCCAGTGGCATTCACTTCTTCAAATGAAAATATTTTAAAATAACTTCTGTAGCTAAGATAGCCTATATTCAAATTCAACATTAATAAAAAAAGCTTTAAGGATAATTAATATCCTGGTATTTTTGAAAACATTTCCAGGATTTTTTGTGGTCCCTTATCACAGATCTTTTTCAAGGTAATTCAGAACCCCCTCTACCCACATCCAAATCAACCAACTGAAAAATCCCCAACTGAAAATCAAACACAATATCTAAGTTGTTTAATACTCGTATTGCAGAATGTACATTCAGGTAAAGTTCTGCAATGTAAACATCCAGTTCAGACTTCTTTTCTCCAATCACTATCTAAAATTTGAGGGTTCTCTCCATTGGCTAAATGCTTTAATGCAACTAAATGAATGCAAACTCTCACTTCAGGTACATTGCATTGACCCAAAGCAGCATACACTCCATGCTTCCAAGATACCTACCTACCAAACAAGCTTGAAGAGAAAAACCAACCTCCCATTTAAAAGTAGAGGACTAACCAGTCTGGCATGCAGAACGATTTCTCTGTCTAGATCAGACACTTTGTGTATATCCCCAAATATAAAAATAAAATCCTATGAATTGCATGCAATCATACATAGTGCAGTTCAAACAATACTGTCTTTCTCCTGGTTTTTGTGAAGCATGTGGACAACAGCAAACTGCAGGGTGGTAATTGTAATGTGTTCCTTGGATTTCTTCCACAGAGATTCACAAAGTTACTTTTATTTAAAAAAAACTCTAGCTCACAACAGGGAGACATTAAACAATTTAGTTGTGGTAACTGTACTGTGAAGAAGTTCCGAATTTCCTTATATATTACCCAAATGGATTTATTTTAGAAGTCCTTTACTAGAACTCCTTTTTCACAAACCACACACACACAAAAAAAGTATTTTTTGCTTTGATTACATACAGCTGTTCATCAGGTGGAAACAGATTAAGGTAGTTTATTATGTTATAAAACTAACCTCATTCTTATAAAGCGTATGTAATACACAAATTAAAGATTCCAGTTAAGCATCACCACATACTAACCCTTCATATTCATGTAAGGTGACCAGCTATGACATTGTAACTACTGGAACTGTACACAGGCGCCTTGCTATGTCATACTTATGTTATGGTTCTCTGTCTAAAACATTCCACAACTGCCTCTGCATTTGGGCCATTTCCACCCATTTCATCTATTCAGCCGCTGTGTTACCACTTCTCGGTACATGATAGAGATATATATCAGCAGAAGAAAAATGACAAAGAAATCATCCAAGAACCCCAGAATTCCAAAGAGGGCTTCAGGAAGAAAATCCAAAGGTGAAGCCAGGTAAAGCAAGGCTCCAAGCAAGCAGAGGAATATTCTGATGCGAAACATCCAGAAGAGGCCTCCAACAGAAAACATCTCCCTGAAAGCATGCCTCAATAAAGTGGGTAGATCCATAATTCTTTCCATAATCTATGAAGAAAGAAACCAAAAGTTATTATTGTGCTTTAGCAACAGGTCCATGCTAAATGGGTGGATTTTTTAGACTGAAGTTTCTATTACTACATTACAGCTTTGGAATCTATTAGCTTATAAAAATTAAAACAAAAACCAGGAAGACCAGACTTTCTGTATTTAGTTTTGATGAGCAAAAAGTACAATTCAGAATATATATCTTTCAATAAACAGTCAAATTGTGTTATTCTATAGTGTAAAACATACATTTAACTCACTAAAAAAATACATTGGTGTCTATTAAGACAGAAAAGCAGTGACTACTAGACTAAAACCAATGAGAGAGAGGAACCGCAAACAGGTTAACTGGTGTGAAACACTGATCAGAATAGAAGACAACTAGGGATTGAAAATTAATTTCCTGAGAAAAATTTGCACAGTTCCTAAGAACTATGAAATAAAAAAGAAAAAAGAAAAGGAAAAGAAAAAGAAAAAAATTCATTAAAAATGCTGTTAATCTCCCCTAAAATCATTGCCTTCTACCCAAATTTACCCAAAACTTACAGATCTGGGCTGTCCTGAGAATCTCCGATTGTAGTCATTAACATCTTGAAGTACTTGGGTTGCATCCTGCTGATCTTCACCGAAGAGTGGTAAAAACAATGTTACCTAGGCACAGCAGGGAGATTTTGTTACATGTGTCAACTGTCTTCCAAATGCAGGCATTGTGAACCATAAATTAAAACAGTAATCTTCAGATGACTACATAGAAAAAACCTTGTCTTAGTTGAGTACTTAGTAGCAAAATAAAATTAAATGTACTAACATGGACACTGCTGCTAAATTTTAACAAACCAACTGCTTACAGCTCTTTAAAGAGTATTAACTTTTTAAAAGCTTGTTGAAAACAAGTGTAAGAACTCTCCTTCCAAGAGAAGCTTACAGGAAGTTTTTCTAAACACCTAAATGGTTTATGTTTCATAAGTGGGACAGATGATTTGGAGAATACTGTTAATTTACTGAATTAATCTAGTTTTGTTTCTTAAATTGAAAATCAAATAAAACAAACAATGAGGCCATTCTTCTTCCACCTTTAGAACGGCCTTGCATTTCAGGAAACAAGCAGTAAAACTCATACTTTTCCATATGGACATTCATTATTCTCCTTAGTCCTTGTATGAAAGTTAACAGAAAAAGATACTAACCTTCAGCTCTTTTGTAAGCACAGAGAATTATCCTACGTTCTTGGTTTAACTTTCATGCAAACATGGAAAAATATGTAAGGCCATATTATATCTATCTTATGTTATCTTTCTATATAGGAGTTTCTGAAAACTTGTATTTGAAAGTGCTGTTCAGTTACAAAATGCAGATTATCTCAGGAAACAGAAAGTGCATAGCACTTTTAATTACTACAGTCATCAAAAGCACCCTCTGTACCTGGCCACTAAGTATATATCTTTTATCTGTGCAGCAGTCACATTTAGCAAATGACAGTACGAGCAGATCTACACTCAACTCCTAGCCCTGCCACAAACCTTCCGTATGACTCATGTTGTTCATGTATACATACTTCCATTCACCATTTATAAATCAGACCTCACTTCTCTAACTTCACAGGGTAAGAATGAATGCATAGCCATTGAAGAAGTGCACCACAGATTACCTGATAGTCAGAGGAAGGTGAAGAACCACTATGTAAGGAGAGACACTAAAAAAATATCTTTATTTTCCTCTTTTCCATCTTCCTCACTTTCATGTTTTGTGTCTTTCTTTGTAGAGTGGCTACACTCTAAACCTACTCAGTCTTCCTCGCATCATACCTATTTTTTTTTCCTTTCTCTGTCTTCTTACAGTCATCTGTCCTGCTGATACACATAATCAAAGCAGGATATAATGTATGGGCAAGGGCGTGAAGCATATTATGTAATTCATTAGAAGTTACAAGCTCTGTAGTTTGTGCACTGTTAATGTACAGATGTACTTTTGTTAAAACATACACTGTAAGACTCAGAGATCCTAAGTGTTAATGAGTTGCAGGGACACATTTCAAACTGACAATGTAAGTAAGTTGCGTAGGAAGTGAGTTAATGCTTGCTCTGCAAAGCTCAAATTAATAATACATACAAACTAAAAATAGGGACAAAATAAGAAATTGACATGGATAGGCTTTTTTGGCAGGGAGAGAAAGAAGGGAGAGGGTACTTCTTAGAAACCAGTACTATACTGCCTACTGGCAATCTTCCACAACAGCCAGGTCTTTCAGATGCAAGTTCTGGTAAAGAAGTTATATAACAACCTGAACAGAAAGCATAGAAAAATCATAGTTAAGATCTTAAAACTTTCTGCTTTCATATACTCCTTTACAGAAAAATGGCCGAGTTACCAGTGCTGTTCACTTAAACTGGAGTTACAGGAACAGTCTGTACTTTTTTAGCCTTTTAGCAAAGCAAAAATGTCCACAAAAACTTAATGTCCACCATCTACATCTTGCATATTTATATTCTTTCAACTTCTCAGACTTCTTCTGTCAGGCTCACTATTGCAGTTCACATGTGGTTTTTTGATAAGCTCTACTAGATAGCTGAACTAGCAGGTACGTGATTACTTAAAATATTACCGTTTGTCTGCAGATTGGACAACGGATGGCACCAAGCCATGAGCCATATCTCCAGTAGGCAATAATGCAGGAACCTGATGAAAGTAAGATACTGACATTTAAACTTCTGAGTTGAAAGCCATTGCATGAAATATTATGTTACACAAAAAGGAAAACAATGACGTGTATAAGCAGTTAGGTTAAATCTCACTTTTCTGGTGTAATTTTTTATACAGAATTCACTGAAGATATCAATAACCAACGTATTCAAATTCAACGCCATTAATGAGAAAAATCCTGAGTAAGTTAAAATGCATCATTAATTTTAGGGTATTACTTCCTGAAAAGACAGAAAACCTAATCATTAACTGAAGAAGTAAATAGTTAAAAATTTTACCAGTTTAAAATTTAGAATTCACAAGAATGTCAAGAGATGTAAAATTTATCCTAAAAACCTGGCTTTATTATCAGAGTTTCAATGAAGGAATATATAGAAATCATAGAACCATAGAATGTGTTGGGTTGGAAGGGACCTTTAAAGATCATCTACTCCAACCCCTCTGCAGTGAGCAGGGACAGTGTTACTGGATCAGGTTGCTCAGAGCCCCATCAAGCCTGACCTTGAATATCTCCAGGGATGGGGCCTCCACTTCCTCCCTGGGCAACCAGTTCCTCATGTTGAAGAACTTTTTCCTAATATCCAACCTAAATCTACCCTTTTCTAGTTTAAAACCATTACTCCTCATCCTATTGCTACATAACCTTGTAAACAGTTCCTTCCTAGATTTCTTACAGGCACCTTTCAGGTATTGTAATGCTGCAAGCCTTCCCTTCTCCAGGCTAAACAACTCCAACTCTCAGTGCCTGTCTTTGTAGGAGAGGTGCTCCAGCCCTTTGATCATCTTTGTGGCCCTCCTCTGGACATGCTCCAGCATTTCAGTGTCCTTTTTGTGTTGGGAACTCCAGAGCTGGACACAGTACTCCAGGTGAGGTCTCATGAGAGCAGAGCAGAGGGGCAGAATCACCTCCCTTGATCCGCTGGCCACACTTCTTTCGATGCAGCCCAGGATGCAGTTGGCTTTCTGGGCTGCAGATGCACATTGGTGGCCCATGTCCAGCTTCTCATCTACTAGTACCCCCAAGTCCTTTTCCTCAGGGCTGCTTTCCAGCACATCATCTTCCAGTCTGTATCAGTAATGTGGAATGTCCTTGCCCAGGTGCAGGACCCTGCACTTGGCCTTGTTGAACCTCATGAGGTTCATCTGGGCCCACTTCTCCAGCTTACCCAGGTCTCTCTGGATGGCATCCCTTCCCTCTGGCACATTAACTTCACCACCCAGCTTGGTATCATCAGCAAACTTGCTGAAGGTGCACTCAATCCTGTTGTCAGTATCATTAATGAAGATATTAAACAGCACTGGTCTCAGTACAGACCCTTGAGGGGCACCACTTGTCACCAACTCCCATCTGGACATCGAGCCATTGACCAGTACACTCTGGATGCGATCATCCGGCCAATTCCTTACCCACTGAATCACCACCACCCATCAAATCCACCCTTCTCCACGTGGGGAACCATATCAAAGACTTTGCAGAAATCCAGATAGATGACATCCGTAGCTTTTCCCTTGTCTACTGATGCAGTTACCCCGTTGTAGAAAGCCACTAGGTTGGTCAGGCAGGACTTGCCCCTAGTAATGCCATGCTGGCTCTCTCAAATCACCTCTCTCTTCTCCATGTGCATCAGCATAGCTTCTAGGAGGATCTGCTCCATGATCTTCCCAGGCACAGAGGTGAGGCTGACAGGTCAGTAGTTCCCTGGGTCTTCCTTTCTACCCTTTTTAAAAATGGGTGTGATGTTTCCCCTCTTCCAGTCACCAGGGATTTCACCTGACTGCCATGGCTTTTCAAATATCATAGAGAGTGGCTTGGCAACTACAAATCTGAGTGCTTTAACTGTTTTCCAAATCTGTAATTTTTTTCATCTGAATGACTAGGCATGGTATGCACCATATACTCCATAAAACTAGATAGCAAAAAGTAACATAGATTATTCATATATAAATTTGTATAGCTGGGCCTGAAAGAAAAAAAAGGCTAACACTTTAAGCACCCTGAACCCAACACACCAAGGTAAAGGTAATACCAAGCAGAATTTTTTACTTTTTCTAAACAAATCTTTTTAAACAGTACAATTCCAAGTGTTTTGCTGTCTCTTCAGGTTTTTTTTACTAACTGGAAATATATTATACTGTCTGTCCTTGACATTTTTAAATTATCTGCAGTTTCAATCTTGATAGCACAGAAAAAAAATGCAGCACATTCTCAAAGTGACTGTCTAATAACAAATGCATTTTCTCAACAATGAAAATTATTTCTAATGCAGATTAGAAGATAAGTAGTTAAGTGAAACAAAGCTTTGTGTTAGGGTGACTGTACTAGTGCCAAAAAGTCTGTATTTCTGTTCTGGTTTTATCTTTGCCCCTTCAGTGTTTTCTTGCTTACCACAGAAGAGATGTCCACAGTTTGTTTCTATAGGAAATGTAGCCTGTTGCAAACAGACTGGACAGGACATATCTGTATAGAAGCGATGCCTATCACCAACAGAAGCATCCTGCTAGAACAGAAGAGAAATGTAAAGTGTTAAGAGATAATATATAAGTTTACCAAGTTTAAAAAATAATAAGAAATCCAGTGTTCATTTACTAGAAGTCGAAGTCAAATGCAAAACTATATGAAATGAAAGAGAAACATATTTAAATTAAAAAACCAAACATACTTAAAGAACTAAGCAAATTCTTCTTTTGACAAGCCCATTATTTTCCCTTCATCTGTAAGTGTGTGCTTCAATCCAGCTAAAGATGGCAAAGAAAGAACGTCCTTGGTCCTTTAAACCAAGTCAGGTTAGACATGCTGAAACATGAATATCAACTCAGATCTAGACTGTTACGTCATTATCCTAAGTAGTTCTGTCCAGAACCAGCTAACTGAACTGCATTGCTTACCAGTTGCAATATTTAGTGTTCCTAAGCCCAAGCAGAGACATCAGCTCATGTATGTCACTGCCATGAAATAGTTTTTCACCTCATTTTGCCGTATTTGTCTTCCACAAAACTGCACTGTAATAACAATTTCAAGAAGTATTATGATTAAAGACTCTCCTCAGTACTGTCCAGAAGTATGGCTTTTCACTCTAGGGCTGGGACTCAGCAATCGTCACTAACCTGGCCTAGACTCTCCCATCCTCTCCTCTATATGTCAGAACTGAATGCAATCATAGAACCATAGAATGGTTTGGGTTGGAAAGGACTTTTAGAGATCATGTAGTCCAACTTCCCTGCAATAGGCCGGGACATCTGTCACTAGATCAGGTTGTTCAAAGCCTTGTACAACCTGACCTTAAACACTTCCAGGGAAGGGGCATCCACAACTTCTTTGGGCAACCTGGCCCACTGTCTCACCACCCTCACAGTAAAGAATCTTCCTAATATCCAGGCTAAATCTACCCTCTTTCAGTTTAGAACCATTGCCCCTTGTACTGTTCACAAAACGTTTTGGTAAAAAGTTTCTGTCAGTCTTTGTTTCTTGGCTCATGTTGCTGTGCCATTGTTCTGCTACACACAGATTATCAGACTACACATCTAACCCTTGTCCTGTGGCAGCAAGCTGTACTCTACATTTCCTTTCCTTTACTGCAAAGTTCCCAGGAACACTGCAGGAAGCACACAACATAATCTAACATACTCCACCTTGTGGCAAAAACTTGTCTGAAAAAAAAGAACCAGCCAAACATTTAATTTTAATTACTTATCAATTTTAAAAGCCTATGTCGTCTCATTACTTGATAAATTTCAAAGATGCCTCTGTACAGTAAGTTTCCACAACTTTCAAGACCAGCTTTTTCCAGAACCTCAGAGAAGTCTGCACTACCCCAAACCACAGCAGAATGATGCCAAAACTTAGCACAGCACCTGCTCAGTCTGAAGCTGCTGACGAAGAGCTCGCACTAGCTCTTGATTTTCTGGGTGTATGTTCTGATGTTCATTTCTGTGAAAGGAAATATAAGCAATAAGAAAAACTGAACAATGTGACCTAACACTGAAAAATAACTAATTGGAAAAAAAAAGGAACTTGAATAAAGGGCAAAAAAATAATTATTTGCTGCTATAAAGGATTTTAAAGGAGATACACAAATAATTAAGGAAAAAGAACATTTATTCTAGTTCTTAATGTTACTCTGGACACTTAAAACTGTACAGCAGCAAGATTTTTCACAGAGACTTCATAATCAATCATTAAATTATGTTAAAACTAGATTCTCATCTGAAAAAAATTAAGCCATTAACCTATGAAAAATCAAGTTGCTTGAAAGTTTTTATATCCATCATGCAGATATTTTTACTTTTTGTCTCCATTGTTAGCTTTTGTATTGTTGGTCTACTTGTAAATTTCTTACTTTCTTTATTCACTACCTATGCTATAGAGTTGAAAAATCCTAATGATCTCAATTTTATCTGCTGTGTGAGAGATTAAGACACAGCATTTATATAAGAAGGGGTAGGCAAACTCTTAGATTTAGAATGTTGAATTTATGTAACTATCAGCAGACTGGATATAAAAAGAAATCACTCTTTTTAAATCACTCTTTAAAAAGAAAGACTGCAGGCAAGAAAACTACAGGTTAGAGATGCCAAGGGGAATCAGAGGGAAGGGAGTCACTGAAGAAAGGAGGCTGGCTCTATTACAAGTTTGAAATTCAAAAGCACAATAGAAACAGAATTGGAATTAAAAATTATGCTGACAACATTAAGAGGTGTTGAGCTACAATAAATATGAGTGAACAGCACCATATTCATAATTCAATTTTTATGCTTTGTTTATTCATATGGATTTCAGTGGTGATACATTCTGCTCAGCACTGCTGAGGTCTCATCTGGATTCTGTTTTCCATTTTGGGCTAAATGCGCAAAAACACAGAGAAGGTGGAAGAAGTTCAATAGAGAATAAGAACTACTGTCCACATTCTTTAAACATTAGAGAAAGAGTGAACAAATGTCAGCTCATACAGAAGACTGCTCATGGAGAGAAAAGGGGACAAGATAAGGCTTTCATTCTATAACTGTGGGAAATAATTGCTCATATTTATGAAAGTTGGTGGAGGAACATTTCTAATCGCTAAATGTACAAAATCAGAAAATGTCACCTTAGTGTACTGTGATCTATCTTGGACTAAAAGTTCAATCAAAAAACAGGTTGCACTGCTTCCAGGGACGACCTAGGCAAGCTGATATTCTGTCAGAGCTGAGGGCTGGCTGAATTTTTAGGATATTTTCTAGTTGCAGTTCTATTTACATAATTTCCTCAATGGCTCTAGAAGCTTCTGCAATATTTTCCTTCATTTGATGTGGGCAAGCATAATACTGCATTATGCTGTCTTTAACAATTTGTCTCCTTCAGTCTTTCTTCAAAGAGGAGCAGACAAACTGCATATTTTTCATACTAATAACTACATGGTTATTCATAAAAACTAAATTTATTGAACACGACTGTGGGTGATATATATGAAAGTTATACAATAGCAAGTTTACGTTAAAAGCCTTCTTGCCCACTGTGGGTCTTCATGAGTCAGATTTTGTGAACGTTGTCTGTCATACATGTAATATGTATAAAAGTATTTTCCTGTTTAGATTCTACAAATAAGCATATTTTCACCTTTGGTTTGTCAGAATTTTGATGTATATTGAAATTCAATTCGAATCACACAGAAGTGGAAGGTGTGAATTATAAGCCAGTTTAGTCTGATTCCTTCATGAACAACTAATTGCAAATCTGCTGCAGAAGTGTTATCAAAAAAAGCTATACTAAACAAAGAAGAATATTAAGTGCTCAAAAAAAAAAAGGAGTAAAGTTACCTGGGCAATATTCACATTATCATCCTTGTAAAAATAGTTTGTTTATATGACTTTACTCTGGTGTCACATACTATGTTGAATACATAAGAGTATTTGTAGAATTGTAGAGGTACAGTATGAAAAACATCTGTCACTTATGCATAAGCTGCTGAGGTAGGAGAACGCTGTGCAATGGCCAGGAGGGGACAGGCAGAGCTCAAGACATCCAATTCATAACTTCTGTCATGTAATTAGTGTGAAAAAATAGATGAAAACCAGTATGGTGCTATGTAATTAAAGGCATTATCAAACACAAGCCAGAAAGAAATAAAGTTGGATGTGGAGTCTTTTGATTTCCCCACATCTGAATGTTAGCACCCCATAACTTAAGAAAAAAAAGTCCCATGATGCGGAAAGATTGTACCATGTATCACAAAGGACCACACCAAACTGTCACTACTAGAAGGAGGAAGGCTGCCTACCTCAGTGTGCAGTCTCACACAGGGAAAGTAAGGGACAGAACTCATGGGGACTGGTATATCACTGTGCAATGATGGCCACTGTTAATTTCCCTGGATTAAGATCTGACCTTCAGCTCATGCCCTAATGTGATGCTTCACTGAGCTCGCTCTGCTGGAAAGAAGTACATCAACCATATCCCTTATCAATTCTTTCCATATTCCACTTCTGTCCCATAAGATCTACTGCAACATACACTCCTTGCTGCCCAATTTTCCTTTTTATTCAGCTCCTGTAACCTTATTCATAACCCTAAGCTTTCTTTCAAGTATTCTTACACAGGATCTGCTCCTACCCAACTTAAGTATTTCAGATGCTGCATACAGAAGAATGGGTCGCAAAGAGGCTAGGGTAATAGACGCAGTATAAGGAACACAAAGATCACTGTATTGCCTAAGATAACTAGAGAAGGAAAAAGAAAACACTCCTTTTCTTCCCCACTCCCTCTTCAGTACTAAATAAATAAGAATTACTATAATTTTTGTACTGTGAGGATTTTGATGGAGACAATACAACGGAGGTAGAAGAAAAATGCTGCTAAATGCAGACAACTTCAAAAGGTACCAGAAGGAACAGCAGAGAGCTAGGAGGGTATTGATAGGGCCTTCAGTAGTCAGTCATACAATACAGAAGTAAACAACCTCAAGACTTTCAAAGCACAGAAGTCTGGGGTTTTTTGCGCCTCTAGAAAATAAACCATCAGGGCATGTAACAGGATCCACAGATAAACTTTTTACCTAGCTCACTATACTGCAGAGGTGGTTAGTAACTAGCCCTTTTCTCCCTCCCCAAGTAACCCTTTATCATCGATCTATCATCTTCCTGAACTCCAATCCTGAGTGAACTCCCACTGCTCTTACTCACTGGTTCCACACACTTTTTGCATGTTCTCAACTTACTTGCCTCTACAAAGTTGAAAAATAAGATGTTTACTTTTAAATTAAGCACTTGAAATTCAAGTCACAAATGTTAAAAATGTCAATATAAGGGGCAGAGAAAGCAAAAGAGCACAGAGGAAAAAATGGCACTCTTGAAGCCATCTGAATAACTGAAACAGCCTTGAAAAGAGAAGCAATGTGAAGCGCATACATTTCTCAGAGTTCTTTGCTATCTCTTGGTTCTGCAGCACTGCCTTGCAGTCTAAGCTCTCCTACTTCTGTTTTCTTCTGTAGCTTGCTCTGAAATACCTCCTACCTCACTAATACTTCTCATAGCAGACAGATCCTCCTCAGTAAATTCCACAATGCCATTGCATCACTAAAACTGTGTTTTCTTAGTTGTAAAAAACCACTTATGTGTTAGAAGTTTACATCCATTTTAAAAAAAGCCAATCTGAAGGTCAGACTTCTTGTCCTAAAACACACAGGCTAAGGTAACTGTTAGGTTGCAAGAGAAAACTCTGAAAAGAAGGAAAAAAAAAAGCAAGCATCTTTGATTACTGACCATTAAAGTTATTGAATTCTGAACTTAACATTCTGCTTTAAGAAAAGTATATTAAAAGTCCGCTGTTTTCCAGCATATTCATTTATAAACCAGTCAATTTATTCAGATCTAAGAGTTTTTTGGGTTTGTTTTTTTTTTAAGGAGATAAAAAATTACATCCATCTTAATTGTGGAGCCACTACTGACAAATCTGTACTTTGTAACCAAATAAGACACACCAGCCATACAGGCTGTGAATGCAGCCATTTTCAATTTCAACAATGAACATTAATCAGTTTGATCACTGCAACATAAGGAAGAGTTAAAGTTTGCTTTTGAGAAATCCATCATTTCATTGTAACTGTGAACTGAATTATGAACCTCTCCCAAGCAATTTGTTAAACAGAGTAAGTAATCAAACAATCATTTCCTTAATGTCACAAAATCACAGCTGTTTTGTGTACCAATACAAAAATTTGTTGAGAAAGTTAGTATTTCACAAATGCAGGTATGCAGATTAATTCCTGTCAACATATTCTCACCTTAGAAGTGTATATACCAGAGCAGCAATGAAAGTGAAACTGAGCACAACTGCCACCAGTACCTGGTCACTTATTCCTTCTATTACTGAATCATTATCTAGCTTCAGACTCTGAACTTCTGTTTGGTGACTGCCCATCACAGCTCTAAAATGTAAAAAGAAATATATACATATATATATTAAAACATACATGCACATACATACATTTTAAACATAGTTAAAAATAATATGCATACACATCTATTAATACACACAATAAATTCCTGAAACAACAGATTAGTTATTGCTGGAGGAAAAATGGTAAAAGGAGAGAGAACAGATGCATTTTAACAAACACTGAGCTTGCTGCAGAGGACTGCAAAACATCTGTCTTGGGTAGTAGCAAACAAGTTGGAAATGACTGTTGTGATCTTTTTTTTTTTTTTTTAAATCAGTCATATACTTTACCTGGGAATCTTTACCAGATAACTTGCCTAGATCATTGCTGAATTAGACATATTCTAAGGACAGTTCACTTATAACAAGTATGATTCTGCATTATCAAGAATTTTATTTATTACACAACACATAATTGCTGCTAGGATGAGACAATGCAATTTTTAGAAACCTAGAGTTTTCAACACTTACGTGAAGAAAGAAACAAGGAGAATTGGGGTTTAGCTGTTTTTAGAATGTCAAATGCCCATCTGGATACATAGGAATCACCCAATGACCTTTGTATTTTAGCTCTCTTTTCTATGCATTATCATCCTTCAGATGGAAACATGGGAAAACATGAAAGAAAGAGTATTTCAAGGCTTCCCCAGTTAGACTCGTTTGTTTTATACTCATTTCACATACACAACTATCAGAATGACTTGCAAATGCTAACATTAACCTACAGTATTAACCTACAGCTGGAAACAAGCAAAATAAAATGAGGTCAGGTAAGACATAAAATTTACATTACTTCCTAGTCCAGTGTGTGTGCCTTAAGCTTGCAAGCTTTCATCAGCACTTCTCTCCACTTTACAGCTCATGTGTCATGTTTTAATTCGAACCTTGCTGCCTAGAAAACATAACCAGACACTGTCTGGCCCTCAATTAATTGCAAAACTGAAATGCAATACAAGTCACTGGGATTTTAGTGCATACCTGCAATGACTACTCTGCCAAGATTTCAACATACCAGGCTACTGCTAATACAGAAGCGTCATCTTTCTCTGTAAGATAACCCCCTAAATCTTTTTTTGTATGAGTTGTAGAGCTTTTTCCAAGCTTCTTCACATTTGCAGGAGCAACCCTCTGTAGCAGCAATGCAAGAGAAGCTGGTATATTCTAACTTTATTGTTAAAAACAACAAAACCCTCGAAAAAACAGTATGTGGTACAATTAAGTACCATAAGAGCAGAGAAAACTCATGGAGAATGGAGAGTAGATTCCTTTAATTGTTGTATTTTTGGGCCTCTACTGTGAAAACCAAAACAAAATAATGAAGCATGTATGAAGTGAAAAAATAAGCTAAGTTACACTAAGTGTCCCAACCTGAACTGAGACTATTATTTCTGTAATGATAGTAATCATTTTTGCTAATTACAGCTTTCCACAAGCAACTGTGTCACAGTCTAACTACTGAAACACTGATTAGTATTTAGAAAAACTTTTCCCAAAGGTGGAACACCAGTGACTCATCAGAGCTATGTTTAAAGTAGGTTGATACTGACACAGGTTTCATATACAGTAATGACTAAAAGACCAGATCTTTGTGGAAAAGTCTTACTTAGGAACAAGTGCCTACACAAGGGTTATAGGATTTCTCTGTGTAGCCGGTAAGACAATTATACTGCTATAGTTAAAGCCATGAGGCTAAGATGGGGCGGAAGTTTTCTGGGCAGTTCTTTGATGCTGAGGATCTGGACTGGTAGGTATGCTGTGATGCCTCCCTAGCTCAACATTCCCAACCTGTATACTTTATTTCTTTGCATATCCAATTCTGAAGAACCTTTTCTTTCTTACAATACATCATTCTGAGACACTAATTTTCCACAACTGTGTCTCAGGCGGTGCACTTGCACCTTAAACTCCTAATGTCCTCTCTCCTTAAGGATCATCATCATCAGTCCACTAATTTTTACTGTGTCACACTGCCATTTCTTGGTTGACCACTCAGAATAAAACCAGAAGTAAATGGCAAGGAATTAGCATGTCAAGCGTCCTCCATTGCCCTGCATCAGCTGAGTTAAAATAGACCTACATGCCAATAACTACATCCCATTACATGCTGTGGACTTTTTAACAGAAATACACACTGTGGCAGAGACATATAGATGCTTTAACTGCACATTTGAAAGGCAAGTGTTTCCTCACACTGGCATCTCAGAGGCTTTCTATGTCACTGCTTGCGTGGAGCACTCTGAAACCAACACATGAATTGCCAGTATCACACAAAGTTAACTCAGCTGCCCTGAACACCCTTCAAGACATCCACTCTAGAGCTCTCTCTCCCTCTCTGCACGTTCCTTGCAACAACAGTCTTAATCCTTATCTGTCTAGCATTAATAGCACTCAATAGATCTGCTTGCCTTCATTTCTGCTCATTCACTCTTCCTGAAATACTAAACTGTGGTGCCCAGGTTAGCAGAAGAATGTGGTTAAGAAATACACAGATTCTCACCGTCTCTTCCTTCCTGCAGATAATGCCAATTACTTGTATCTACTTCACCCCTTCAGTTATCACATGACTTTCCCAATAACTATTTTCACACAAACTCAGTGCCCAAAATAAATTTCTGCAGAGTCTTTCTGGCTACATAAAATGCCACTCCCTCAAACATTTTGTCTTCACTTACATATCAACACATCAGAGATGTATAGAGGGGGAAGTAGAATCTCTGTCTCAGTCTCTCTCCTAGCTGTTTCTGTTACGAAATTCTAGAGAAGATGGACTACCAATGCTTAAGGCTCATGTTGTTCATGTTTTAATTTACTTGCTGCTTCTGGACAGCCAGCAAGTCCTGAGCATATTCTTCTCATTAATTCTAGCACTTTTTCCGCAACAAATCATTGCACAGGAGGGCTGACATGAGTTGTGTAGACTAGGAGCTATGAACAGAAGGGTTTCACTTCAAAAGATCGGTACATACTTCCTTAGAATAATCATTCAAGCCTCAGTAAAGACAGTAACAACCTCTTCCTCCTCTTATCTCTGGGTTAGCATGTAAAAAAAAAAGATGGCTACAAGAGCACTGCTAAAATACACTATTTGAAAATTGTCAGACTGAAGGAGAGAGGAATTTTATGATTTCACATCTGTTTTGAACATATTCAAACAAAATATCTAGAACTGCAAGCTTGCAGTTCACATTTCTTCAAGTGCAACCACAACAGCCAACGAACACATCTGCAGTGACTTGAATGTGTAATAGACTAGACAACAGTCCTAAAATAGCTGTTAAGGAATCCTGCCTCCCAGTACATGTGTTTAGCTGTGGTGCTCTTTCAGTTGGTACAACAAGCAGGCTATAGGAGAGTTAATTCTTACATGGTGTAATAAACACACTTCAGTCTTCAGACACAACCAACATTGACAAGGACTAAGTGTAGGACAGAGAAGACTTCAAGAACCAGACCTTATCACAGACATCTAATCTCTTATAAAATAATAACAGCTAATAATCTGATGTCATTTAATTGCAATTCAATGTGGTTTGTATCAGACTTTTTATGGCCATGCATTACATTTGTTTGGTTATGCAAAAATAAGAGTATTAAATCAATGTTTTCATCATACAATCCTTTTCAGATCAGCGTTCTACACCACGAGCTTTTCAAACGTTAGTTTTAAAGCTGTTTTTTCTTCTTTGTAGTTTTATGCTACTTTGTTTCTTTTTGTAATTACAAAGAAGGTTCGATTTTTTAATGCTGATTTTTATTTATACTTAAGATTTTTTCTCTTTTTAGCCATTTAAAAATGACAGCTTTCTTAAATGAAACCATAACCCTACCCTGTGTCCCAATTAGAAGATGAAAACCAAACCACATCTAACAATACTCACATCAAAATCGGAACTTATACAATCAACTTCTGAACGTTGAAAGTATCAGTTGCAAAGTTTAAAAATCCCAAAAATATGTTTTCCAATAATTTGGCTTTTTTACAAATTAAAAGTAACAACAAAAGAGCCGCAAACTTAATTTCAGTTTCACTTCATCTCATCTTCAAACTGCTGGCACTTGCTTGAAGTAAAATGGTACGACTGCTCCGTGAGGGGAAAGAAGACAAAGAGTCACTCTTCTGTTCCACTTGGGCTAGCTAAGTTATAGCTGGACTTTGCCGCACAGTACTTAGACTGGGATCAGGTTTATTTGCATTAAGATTGTTGATAGCTATAGAATGCAAACAGCCTCAGACTGAATTGTCCACAAAATACTTGGAAATAGAAAAGGATGGATTCTATAATTTATAAAATTGCACAGTTTTGTTTATAAAAGAAGTCACAGACTAACCATCTCAACACAAAATCACCTTGTTTATTCTCAGTTTTTCCTCAAAGTGATGACTGACAGAAAGCAACATTGATTTACTTATATTTCAAATAAGAATCTGCAGGCCTTAGAAGTTTCATTTCTCCCTCTGTGGTTAAGTAAGAACAATGCAGGCAAGTTTATGCAAAAAAAAAAAAAGGAGAACCATAATGAGCAATACTGCAATTACAACGTCTTTCATTCTTGGAAACTCATACAGATCACACTGAAATGCGAGGGCATGAGGACATACACTAGCGTGGATGTATTATTTCTTCACTTTTCACATTTGAAAAGTACTATGAAGACTTTCAATGTTTGATATACAGCACAGCTAGAACAATTCTCTATTTCATAAAGAAATGAAAAACAACCCAGTGTTTGCCATGCTACGGTAAAATGTTGCCAGCTATCCAAAGTCAGTATACCCTCATAGTTTTCTGAAGGATTTGAACTTTTCCTAGTTTATCAAGGAAGCGCCATATGCTAAAATACCTTCAAAACCAGATTTTTAGGACCTGCTACCAAATGAATATATAAGCATAGTGAAAAAAAATTAAGAGGCTCTCTTCACGTCTGAATGAGTCTGAGCAGTACTGCTGTGAGATAAAAATTCATAACCAAGAGCAATATTTTACTGTCTTTAAGAGCACAGTATAATTTACTCAACATTGCAGAGATATATTGGATAACAATGTGTCCTTTCAGGAATGGGCTGGGAGTGAACTGGAAGGGAATAGCAGCGTTTTTTGCTTGGAGTTTTTGTTTGGTTTTGTTCTGCTTTAATTTTATTTTTATTTTGGATATTTTCTTCTTGATGCAGTACTGACAACCACCCGCAGTGCTTGAAAGAAATTCTAAAACAAAGACAGTGGTGGTGGACCAGGATGCAGGTCAGAACCTGTAATACTTTTTACCAGTTTTCTTTAATTAGCAGAAGCATCACCCCGCTCTTTAAAAATGCTGCTTCCTTTATACAGATAGTGTGTTTTCCAGGATAAGTTATTTCCTCTCCAACTAGGAAAATACTATGAGTTACATTTTTTTTAAGACCGAACATTATTTAACTCCTCAAAATTTTCCTCCAGGGTAAAAGGAACAACAACAAAAAGGTTTCATTTGTATTAACAGGTTTCTAATAAGATTAATCTGTTTTAAATAACAGAAACACACTTCTAAGAATATAAATATACTGAAAAGGAGCATATTTATTCTGTAACCCACACTCTGGACACATATTAGCTTACACTGAAATATCTAAGGCATATATTTAGTGTTTTTCTTTCATTTAAGAGAAAAACTGGCATAAATTCCCCAAATAAGGAAAAATTCTTAAATATGAGGCAATAACTAAGACCCCTCTCATCAGAGGTAATCAAATAACTTCCTACTTCAGGTTAGCAGCAGGTTGTGCCCACTGCCTGTGGTTGAGAATGGGACTTTATGAATGAATTTGACCCAGCAAATGGGATACTACAGTTATTTTCACTCTCCTCCACGAAGAGCTTAAAGGTATGCTTAGACTGCATTCAGGAAGGGTTAACAACAGCAGGCATTAAGCATGCATTATGAACAGAATATGTACAAACAGCATTGAAGACCCTAGCATGAGCTGACCTGTCTAAATCCTAATCAGCTAAATCCTGACTGGATGTATTTTATCAAGGCATGCTGGTGTACTGAAGTTGGAATTTGAAATAGTGGTATAGACATATATACATTATAAAATGGAAATAAGGGAAATGATGGATGGTATACTCAGAAAAACTGTTTTTGAGGATTAATTAGTTTTTTCATTTTTGTGAGCACAGCTTTATTTGAATAAAGCATACACAATAATCTTTAGTATTAAGTATCTCTATACATTTTAAAAATCAGGAAGACACCACCCAAAGGACATATTTACTAAGAAAAATTTAAAAAAATCGAATAGAACAACATATAAATTGACAAGACACATTCTGTGAGAAAATTATTAAAACTGACTTGAAAATATCATACTATGATTTCATACAATCTGTTAATATAGCATTATTATGAGTCAGTAGCAGCTTTAGAGTCACAAATTATAATTTATATAATATATATAATCACATATATATTTGTAAAGCAAAATTATAACTGAACATGACACGGCAGAGTTTGGTTATCTCTTCACCAGAAATCATCTTTGCTCTCAGAACTATGCTGACTACATTTATATGCATGCATGTTCTTTGCAAGAGAGGAATGAAAAATTCCAAAGAGTCCTTCCAAAATAGGGGAGAGAGCAATTTCAGTAGGCAAATAAAAATTCTGTTCAATATACCTTAAGAACTGATCAACTGAGGCACTTGCCTGGTAAAGCAGGTCTCTGCAAGGTCTGAGGTTAGTAATTGCTGAGGCACATTTTTTTCCTAAAGAGAGAGGAAAAAAAAAAAAAGAAAAGTAGTTATTCTACTTTTGCTGGCGGAATCATGCTTTACAGGTTAAAAATACTACAGATGCAACTCCAGATGCAATTCTGTAAGGGAAAATAATCCCAAGTTAATACACCATTCCACTGGGAAAACAAAAAGTTTCCAACCGTTTTTCTCATGAGCCTGAAACTGTGTTGATGGCTTGAAGCAAAAATTCAATGGTCTGTATAGTATTATTACCTGGAATATCTGTCTGGATGATGAAAAACAATCCCCAAACACCATGAAAGGCATAGAGTTCCCAAAAAAACCCAACAAAACAGAGGGTGGAACTTAATTCACATGCAGATAGGAACGTTAGAAAGAGCCTGCCAATGCTGTCGGTTTGGATATCTGACTTGTCTGCTCAGACAGGAAGAAAGAGGAACCAAAGACACTTCATTATAATAATATTTACTGAAATAAGGTAATACTTCAGCTGAGAATGAAAAGGTTTTGAATCTCTTTTAAGAAAGTTCCCAAGAATTCTTTACTGTAGAAAGCAATGCTTCTGTTCACAATCTCACATCTACAATAGACAGCAACACAAAAAGCATTACTGTATTTCTTTGCATCAACAAGATACAAAATTTAAGTCACACATTGTGCCAACAGGCGAAGCTGAGTGGGAAATGAGTACATAAAGGAAGATGTGGCAGAAAACCTTAAATGCTGAAATACACCTGTGGAAGTATTGTTCGTCAAAAGTACCAAGCAAACAGCTTAAAGTACACATTAAAACTTGGAGTGGAAAGTTATAAGAAAGAAAGTGTACATAGCTTTCTAAGTCATTTTAGTTTATTCTTGAAATAGAAAGCTACCTGTTAATGATGAGAGGTCAAATTCCTAACTTAAAAAGGAAAACAGTGGGCTACACAATAAGATCAGTGAGAAAGTACTTTACTTGAGAATTTTCCTAGCTTTTACAACACACTTTAATTCAAAACAGGTTGACATAAAGGAACACTCAATTTTTTTCTGTGCTAAGTTATTTAATTGAAGAACCATGAGAAAACAGAAACAAAGTGACAGTTACTAGACCTACAACCCTTTCCTTCTTGGTTGTTTACCCAACCCTCAGCTGTTCCCAGTGCACTGTGCTTGCTGCCTCATGTTGCCTCATGTCAGGGCGGCTGCTAACTGATAGGGAACCGCATAGCTTATCAAGACAACCAGCATTCTCATTTCAAGCACTGGATGGGCCAAAAGTCAACTAACTAATGAGTTTCTTGAACTCTTCAAGCAGTCCCTCTGCAGCGCAATGGAGAACTTCTCTGGCCTGGGCAGTAAGGACACGGAGCCACTCTAAACGCACTCCATGTCTTCAAGTTTAAAAATATTTGAATTACCTGTAGCGAACGCTAAATAAATAACTTTTATTTTATGCTAATTAACTTTTACTACAACAGTTTTGCTCAGAACAATTTAGCGTCGTTTTCTACTCCAAAGAGAAAAGAAAACCTTGTAAAGGCTGCTCCTCCAACAAACCAAAGCCGTATTACTTACTAGCCAGAGGACGCCTGCAGGTGCAGCGTCCACACAAGCCCACGCTCCTGAAGCCAGGGAC